ATCGGGCCACGTCTATGATGTTCTCCCTGTGAGTGCAGAACGTTTGTACGTTAGACAGCATGTACGTACGTTTATGGTTTTTATGTAATAGTTCAACCCTCTTATCAATTCGTGCTAAAATTATAGTAGGCTCCTTAAACATTCGTAGGAAAAATATATTAAAAAATTTACATTATCAACAAGAGATTTTTTAACGCGTTCTTCTCACAAATATTGGAGCTAAATCGGAGGAGACCACATCTCTTGTCAGAAAGAGTAGTAGCAACTATAAATGTGACAACTGTACAAATTTTGTATATAATAAAAATAATACACATAGTTATTGCAACTATAAAATATTTTATTACTCAATTATTGTATCTTAATTTGGCATATAAAACTTGTATAGCAACACTACCTACACTGTTAAAAATGCTTCCTTTATATATAAATGAAGCTCATAATTATGAACGAAATTAAAAGTAGGTAATGAATGATTTAACTGACAATTAAGTTACAGTAATTATTTAAATGTAACGAACGTATACTAAATCTCATAAATTTTCATGAAAAAGATATTAAGGACGTTTTTTCTCCGAAAAAATCCATTTTCTTTAGATTTTTCTGAAACTTACAGAATAAGCTTATTTTAATGTCCTGAACGCTTAAAAGTATATTAAATTTCATGAAATTCTTAATAGCGTATCATGTGTTGACATCTTTATAATTGCTCGCTACTATTTTTCTCTGAGTATGTGCCAAGAAACGAAGGATATAGTTCTTTCCACTTACGACAAGACCAATTTGCATTAAGTCATGCCAGTCGAGGCTAAGAGGGAAAATAATTAATAACTCCTGGAGAGTATACGATAAGCAAACAACCCCCACGGGGTTGAAAAATATACTTTACATCAACGCATGCACGCACGCATGTACTCACGCACGATGCCTTTTACGCGTCGCGCCAGACATTTTTCTCTCTTTTTTGTTCACTCTCCTTTTCTTCCTCTTTTTTTTTATTCAGTCCGATTTGCATTAAATAGCACACGCACCCGTATGCCCGCGCACTAATTTATCGCTGAGATATGTTATACACCGCTTTCATGCTTCGTGCTACCACACCTCGGAAGAGTCACTCGTACGCTGATGAAATGATAAAGCACTCCCGGCAGAGAAGGTGCCGCGAAACGTGTCGGGTTGGATCGCGACGTAAAATTCAATTTTATTCGCGATACTGTCGCGAAAGTACTCTCCTGTTCCTCCCCACTCACATTCATATTTTAGGTATGCGTTATTTAAAGTTCATTAGTTCAAAC